TCTCTCATTTTCTTCAATATCTTCAAAGAATGACGCTCTGTCTATTCAGTAGGATCTTTCTGTGTTGCTTTCTGTCCGCTATAATAATTTCTTTTCATAAGACAGAATGAGTTTAGGTTTCTTGACATAGTCTGGTTTGTTTAGTAATGGTATTCTACAGCTTTGATAGGGAGTATAAGAACAAAGTATTTGTTTTTCTCCAGTTCATTTATTTGATTTCAATGCTCTTTTGACACAATAAACTGACAACGGAACTTTCTATTCATATAGTCAAGACAATAACTTAAAACTATGGATTTGAAATGTTTCGCATCATCACCTGGAACTAGAACTAGTCTTTTGTTTGATTAATTATATCTTCGAACCGGACTTTTGTACTGAGCTCATTGAATTTTGAAGTCATATTACAAAATTAGGGTCGAAGTGATACGGTATGCATTTGAAATGAGGACAGTGATACATTTGAATAATTGAACACATATTTTTCATGACATGAAGGAAAGGCCGTTTTTCGGTTATTTTTTTGGCTTCAGGTGGATATCATCAATCCCCTTCTTAGAGAAAGTAACAACGTAGTTTTTAATTCCTACTTTTTCACGGCTGGATACTCAGAAAAGAATGTGAGATTTTTGTGAAGCTCTGTTCAAGTTCCGGTAATCAGTAATGGACAGCTTCAGTATAATTGTATCACTTCAAGGTTTGGAAGTTAAGAGAGATAGAGTTAATTCTAAGGTTCTCCTAAAGCATTTTAGGATGTTCATGTTTCTCCAGGCATTTCTTTCGGAAGTAAATTCTCTTATTCGTCTTGAAAAATTTGATGGAAGAACAAAGAAACTTTTTGATAATCTTTACCGTCCTTCCTATTCTTTGAACAGCGGAATACACATATTTAATCTAATGGAAATACAAGAAAGACAGATCCAGTGAAGTGAAATACTACAGTATGCAGGCTGAATAGGTGTAAGAGGATTTCTGAGAGCATAGTATCTCAATCAAATGACACTCAGGGGACATGTGAACACTGGTTCCATTTACAACCTACTGAGAATAAATGTGCTAACTTGAAATCATTCAGGGAAACCCATAATGAAACATTTGGGCAACATCCTAGGTCAAATGATGACAACAAATATACGAGTCAATCCAAAAAGACTCGAGGTCTGCGAATATATGCTTTATAAAAGTTAATATAAGTTGAAAATGGTTCGCTTCTTTATGAGTTAGATGTTAATCAAGTCACCTAGTCTGGTGACGAAATATTTAGGAATAAACCTAAAAGCTCGGAGAAAATTGAAACATTATCATCCTCTTCTTGAGCTGCCAACCTTATTTGCCAACCTATGGCAATCTCAATTCACTACCAAATGAAGATATGTAATTATGTGAATGTACAATTACCATTACCATACTGCATCTTCAAAGCAAAATGATGAAACGTATGGTAAATTGTAAACATATTTGATGATATAAAAAATATTGAAGAAACTGTCGGTTTGCACAAATTAAAGTAAGTAAACCAATACTCAAACAGACGCAGAGACAACAGTGAACATGCTCACACCACACATCACCTATAAAACACTACACTGGACAAAGAAGTGAAGAAGAGTGTGTGCAAAGACAAAAAATGCATCTACGACATACTTGCAAGTGAAGCAGAATAGGCTGAGAGACAGAGAGAGACAGAGACTTGACAACACCATATCAAATAACCAGGTTGCCTACCATCAGTGAAGAGATGAACGCAGATGGAAGCAATGAAAGATGGTGAAGGAGACTCAGTCAACACCAAAGAGGAGCGAGCGAGCGATAGAGAGAGAGAGAGGGGGTGAGGGAGGGAGGGAGAGAGGAAACGATGGGTTGACCACTTCCGAAAACTGTCGAATCGACAACCAGCACCACCATCACCTGCAACTCGTCCAGAAATATCACCAGCAGCTCAGCCACGAAAAAACTATCAGTGAACACAAAGCCTCCGACAAAAGCAGAAGTGAGTCATGAACACCATAAAACTGCTGAAATGTGGGAGAGCAGCAGGACCAAATGGAATTCCTCCAGGAGCACTGAGAACAGAAGCAGAGACAACAGTGGACATGCTCACACCACACCACAGCTGACCACACCACACCACGCCACACCACTACTGTAGGAGGTTAGGAGGGAGTGAAGTGAAGTGAAGTGAAGGTAGGTGGGAATAGATTGGGAGAAGGGCAACCTTGTCAAACTGTCAAAGAAGGGAGACATAAGCCATTTGCATGAACTGGTGAGGAATCATGCTGCTGTCCACCCGAGGCAAACTATTATGCGGCATCATGCTAGATAGACTTAAAAATGTTCTGCACTCAAAATTACGAACAGAACGGGCTGGTTGACTTCAGGAGAAACAAATCATGTGCGGATCAAAATGCCACGTTACTCTACACATCATCATAATAGAATAGAGCATCGACTTTGGAAAGACCTACAATAGGGTTGACCGAGAAGTAATCTGTCAGTTACTTCAACACTACGGTTTTAGTGCCACAATTCCTTATCAACCTCATTCAACAGCCATATGACGACGCCACATGCCAAGTGATCCCGAATGGACAGCTCAGTGACGCCTTGGAAGTGAAGAAAGGGGACAGGAGTAAGACAAGGCTGCCATCTACCATCACTCACAAGCTTCCTGATTGTGGTGGACTGGAGTGGACTGGACTGGACTGGACTGGACTGGATCATGCAGCAGACATCTGTGAGGAGCGAGAAGCTGGGCATACGCTGGCTGGATCGATGAAAAGACCCTGGGAGAAGAATTGGATTTCGCCGCCGATGATGGTTTGTGTCTAGTGTCACACGAACTGGGAGATCTACAGGCGAAAACCAACAAGTTGACAGAAGAGGCGATGCAGGGTAGCAAAGATGGGACTTCAAGTGAACGTAGAGAGGACAGAGGTGATGAAGACACCCAACCGGCAGCAGCAGCAGCAACAACAACAATAACAACAGCATGAACAACAAGCACCAATCAGCATGAAGAGGAGAGACGTAAAGGAAGTTGTCTCTTTCACCCACCTAGGTGAGGCAGTATCATCTCAAGCACAGGCAGTGGCATAGATGAGGACGTCAAAGCAAGGGTTGGAAAGACAGCAAAACAGGCCTTCTTGCATTGATCTGAAATCGGTGTGGAGATCTGCTGCACTGCACTGAACTCAGAATAAAGAGTGAACAAGATTCGCCTTTTCAACACTGATGTCAAGTAAGTCAGTGCTTCTGTTAGATGGTTGAGAGACTTAGCGCGTTAAACTACTTAGTCTAAGGTATTCTTTTCAGCAAACTGCGAACGAAATTCCCACGACTTTCATTTATTTTGAATTTTACTGCATCAAGACGTCCTGAAGATAAATCTTGGTGGTGAGGAATGTTATGTATTATACTGCTGCAGAGTTTTTTCTACCAGGGACTTGAATCTGCACTGTTTATCATTAAAAATAGAATATTATAGTCTCATTTTATATGTGAGCGCAACTGGTTCAGAATAATGGAAATATTTTTACATGGAATACTGTCATGTGGATATAACTGTTTTTCCAGGCCGCAGAAATTATGTCCTGCCATACACTTCTCGGATTAAAACAAAGTTCAAACGAACGCCATTAAAAGAACACGATTGTTAAGAATTGAAGGGCATAGCTTTAGTACCGAGGGCGGCACAAAACATTAGTTGAACTTTTTGAGTGGTGCTGGGATATATTTACCTAAGTAGCTCACCTTTCTGGTTAGCTTCAGGAAGTGGTAAGAGTTGTGTATAACATTCACCTTTGCCTTATTTTTAAAATACACATAAAACTCATTTTTGGGTGAATAAAGATAAAAACGGTCTGTATTACAGACTGTAAATGATTATTGTTTTGATCTTCTAAGCTTATTTACGAACGAGGTAGGGTAAAAAAATGAGACAAAATGAGTTACTGCAAATACAGTAAGGATTTCACCTATGAGTCATCCACATGACATCATGGATTTATACTTTAATTCAATGTTTCTCTGAAAATAGATATATCCATAAAAATTATGTTCAAACTGCTAGATTTACAGTTGCAACATTTTCATAATCTAACTAAAAAAACTTGAAATGATTTCATGTTATCAGTATTTGTCCAAACACTAGAAGAGAAACTGTATCTTTTTATGTTAGCCTGTGACGAACAAACACACCTAACTTGCTGTCATGATAGAGTCAGTATATTCAGAAATTTAATGTTCAACTGGGTTGCTTAAAATGGTATAGTGTTTATCATTACCCAAGATATAGTTCACGACAGTGGCTTCAAGATGTGACTTAAAAACATTGATAATTAACAATCAAATGAAATTTTTATTCATGATTGTTTTTCTATTACCTCTCACACTTTATTGTTTTATTCATTAAACATGATCATCGATAAGAAGATTTTTCATTCATCTGAGATAACAGCAATTACAACATTAACGATGACATAAAGTTTGTTTTTTGCCTCTTCATAAGTTGCCTAAGTAATTAGGCAAAAATCAATAGTGATGAGAAAATTGCCTTCTTCTTTCCAATATATACTTCACTGTTGTGTAAATAAGTGGTCGTTTTTTTCTCTTGTCTCTAAATTACCTTACTTACTTATCTGTAAATGCATCCTTTTATGAATAGAAATTTGATTATCTAATATGATAAATTAGAATATGAAAGAAGAAAGAAGACTAGTATGAAATTGGAAAATTTTGCCTCAAGGATTATGAGGTCATTTTCCTACAAGGTGATTAATCTCCAAGTAGCCGCATTGTAAATTTTTGTGAGCATAGTTATCAATAAAAAGTCAGCTTCCCTACTTTATAGTGATAGTGGAGCAATTTTCTGAAATGATTCTTTTGAGCTTCACAAAAAAACTCAGTGATAAGCTGATATTGTTTGTGGTGAGACCTATTACAATAGAATGTTCTACTTACCGTGATTACCTCATCATTCTATACTGATGTATTAAGATTAACATCAACTAGTCTTAGTGTGATCGTTTTTCAGAATACTTAACCTTCAGCGTTGGCAAACAAAGAAAACATTACTCCGACATTGTAAAGAAAAGAAAACATCAATTTAGGAGCCATATAATTGACTGTAAGTACAAAAGTAGAAATAAATTTCCTCTCCGCCTCTTTAAAACGAAAAAACTATGGTTATTTCCCCTTTGCTGTATTTTGTGGTGTTTTGTTCATTAATGAAAGGCTAGAATTTTGAAGTGCTCTGTTATCAGCACTTCAGTTTCACCTACTAAAATACAGATGAACTTATTATGTCGCTGTCTTTTATACATTAATCAAAAGCCAAATCACGGTGCTTTAAACTTCCAGCGATGATTCAGTAGTATTGAAATATTAAATTAGGGCTCTTCTCTCAACAATCCCTCTGAGATTTATTAAAATACTCACATCCACTTAGACATCTTTCCAATGTCTCAACAGCACTGAAGATTGTATTCAAAAGTATATAAGTCTAATTTAGTGATTTGCCTTACCTTGGAATAATTATGATAAAAATGTGAAGCCATTTTTTAATCTTTAAAACACTATATACCAGCCTATATTTCCCAAAGCACTGCTTTTAAACTCTGGACTGGACGAAAATTACTCTACTAAGTACATATTACTTTCTTCTCAGAGTTTTATAAAAACAGTTTTACCTGCCAGTAGTTTCCAGATAAGGCAAATTTCATAACCTGTGATAGCATTACAAGCAACGACTTTTGTTCTATAAGTTGACTGTTCCGGCTGACCTTTTGATTTTGCACTTCTTCCTTCCTTCTCTGAGTTTTTTTAACGGATGCCCATAACAGAATTTCCCAGATAGCAAACTAAATTTAAGGTTTGTCTATATTTTGAAGTTAGAGATGGACAGAACCGTGGATGCTTTCATTATTCAGTAATTTTTTCATGATTTTAAATCGTAGCCAGACATCTTTTTACATAAAAAAAGATCATTTTCATCATTAGTTATTTTTGTTTCTTGATTTACTCAGGAGAACCACCTTGACCTACCATTTTTCGTAGTGACTTTTAAAATACTTGTTCATTTCATGGTACAGCTTCTCTACTACGAAAGTCGTGGCGTATCTTGTAGTTATCTGCTACGCAATGGGATGACAAAGCTGGTAGTCAAATTGGAAGCATGTGAAAATTGGCCATATCCAAGTTCCGAATCACAATGGTTGTTAATATTCAATCGATTTATACGTAATTGGTGTAAAGTCATTCAAGTAGGTCTCGAACAATTGTACTTTTACCTCTCTTCATCAAATTTCGGAGAGGTTAAACACAAAAAGACTTTGACGGTTCATATTTTTTCGAGTTTCATCACATGAACAAGTACTTGTGAATTTTGAGTTGTAATGCGAAAATGATGCATTCAAAACGCCATATGCTTACATTTATGATAGTCAAGTTTATAAAACTTCAACTACAGGATTCAAAATCATGTTCACTACGCTTATCGTTTTTCTGATATTGGATACAATGCAGCTATTGTCCAATCCACTGAATAAACGTTTGATGACAGGAGATGAGATGGGGATCTGAATAAACAACAGAGACTTAAACATTCTGTACTCGTTAAGTAGAACCACACAAAAGCGTACCGTTAGCAGTCTTAAAATGAATACACAAATTATAAGAATCCGATACTTGAGCTTAGATATTTACACTTAGTGTAAATTAGTTTATATTTATTAACAAAATCCAACGTGAAGGCATAATTGTAAGGTTTCTTGACCTTTAAAAACTGAAACGAAGATAGTAGTTAATTATTTATTAGTTATTATTGAGGGAAGAGCATTCATCAACAACTGCCCACGCTCATTACTGAAGATCAGATGACCAGAAAGAATATGCAACAAGGAACTCTGGCTGACTGGCTGGCTGGCCGGCTAGCAATGAACCAACCAAGAACCCATCACCCAACAAATATGTAGAGGGAAGTGTAGATGGATTGGATTTGGCATACACTGAGAAGACGATTCTGGGACATCGGCACCAGGTCAGTCCGTCAAGTTGAACCCAAATGGGAAACGACGAGTTGGGCGTCCCAGCTGAGGGTGACATAGAGGAGATGGTGTGAGGAAGAAATGGGGGGGGGCTGGCTTGTGGGCGGTCGTGGTGCCAGGTTGAGCAGACTGCAGAGAAGCGAGTGCAATGAATGCGTGCTACTGAAGCCCTATGTTCCACTGGGAACCGAGGGACAAATAATAATAATAATAATAATAATTGAGAGGAGAGACAATGCAAGACTTATCATAAAAGAAAACAGGCAACAGCTCAAAGACTTAGAATCACTTTATCAAACCCAACCACTTCTGAAGGTAGTAAAGTAAGAATACGTGATTCATAGCAACCACTTGATAAAAAAATGTGCATAAGTATGCTAAGTAGCCTTTCGAAACTTTTGAATGAATGTTGATCATTGTGTTTATTGTGGATTCGTTGAAAGTTTGGTCATACTTTCCTACCTGAAAATATTAACAGATGAAGTAATGGAAAGTCTCAACTGTAAACACCATGCGGAACAATTTATATCACTCGTTATATGCGACAAACTTGATGTTGCATATTCCGGAATCTTCGAATATTTCATGTATCTCGAGTCCTTATCGTTATTTGTTCTACTGTCTGGGCGGTCTTCATATTTCCCAAATTTTTATCACTTTACATCAGTAGAAAGGGCTTATAGGCTAACTTCTAGAGGAGATTTTAAGTGCATAGGATTCAATGTTGTCACTTAGGTTGAGGAAGAAAGTTCATAAAAAATATCCAAATTATAGATGAGGTAGCTTGAAATGTGACAAAAGTCGTGAATCAGCATAATATAATCTCAGTAATCATCATTATCTTTATTTATTCTTAGATAACTAGTGGGGGAACAAAGAGATATGAAACAATTGGGCATGCCACATTTACAAAACTAGAAGGCACAATGTTTGTCACAGGAAAATTTAAAGGTGATATGGCAGCAAAACAACAGAGGATGCCAGATTTCTGTCTATTTCTAACTACAAACATATTGGATAATGACTTTTATCGTGGTTATTTACTAACTGGAATGCTAGAAAGAGGTAATCGAAAGGAAGGCATATGGGAATCAACACATTATGCTTATGTGAAGCGTCAAGGCTACTGAAAACATTAGACATATTTATTGTCATCCCTTCTGTAAATTCATGTCATTTCTGTCGACAGTATTCCCAAAACTATATTAAATTACTGAATAATCAATGTGAGATAACTGAAATAGTTATGTATCCATCCATATGTGAACAAATAAGTGGTGAAATGCAAAAATATGTGTCAAAATCTGACTTTTGAATTCACTCATGTAGATCTACTGGAATTTGTTATTGACTTGATCAAACTAAACCACTGAAAATAATCTGATACAATAGGCGTTGGAAAATCTCTGATTGTTAGGTGTCTGCATAAGCTCGGTAAGAACTTTTCAACGCAAATTTTACGTTTTTTTGTACTCTTCTGGAAAGCGCATTTACAAACTCGAAGAAACTGAGCTTTCCTCGGAGAAGTGATCTTGTACCACTCAGTGCTGCTTTCAGATAAGTTATCACTGGTTATTCGGACTATGAAGACCTCTCTTCGGACTAGATTCGATTCTTTGTTTGGTCACTAAGAAGTAACATATTTCAAGCTATCTTGTCTGATTGATCGAATTCTGCAGCATTTAGAAATAGACAACGTGAAATTGGTTACTCTTCAGTGACTTATCAACGTACTGTTATGTTTGTTTTGGACAAGATTATTCGAAGATCTGACACATTTCATTAAGGTGGCCCGCCTGGAACTCGGGCTACCAAACATTTCTAACCAAATATACTACACCAAATTTTCTTTCAATATGTTTTAATCTTTTAAATGTGCTTTCCAAACGCATCATGTTTTCAACTAGCCATTTTTCAACTTGACTTCAAAACGAGGAAAAAATGCCACAGTAGATGAAGGTGAATATTGAAATGCACCAAAATACTCCATATTACTATTTTTAGGATAATTAGCTCGAATTTCAGATTTTGTACTGGCTGAATAAATTATCACCACCAAATTACGCTGGATTTTCTGTTCATTCATCAATCCAGACCAAACGCTGCTTCTTTCATATTATTGCCTTTAATACTGTCATCATTAAACTTTCTCAGATGCAGTAAATATTTCATTTAAAAATATTGTACAGGGAATGGATTTGTTGAAATATCACATACTAAGAATCCCATACTGTATCATACATATTATTTGGAATAAAGCGATTGTCAATATTATTATCATTTTGACTAACTGAGTGAGATAGTCGTGCTTTAGTAGACTAGCATTGATACTAGGTGATGATTGAAGGTGAAACGAAAATTTCCGCCACAGTGGGATTTGAGCCGGCGACCACCGGGTATCGTAGCTCATTTGGTAGAGTAGCGTGTCAGAAACCCGGGGGTTGCTGGTCCGAATCCTGCCATGGCTTAAATTTTCATCCCACCTCCATTCATACCCCAGTATTATTGTTGCTAAAACATGCTGCTTCTGCATCGCAGGCTTTGGGTATTTTTGTATGAATCCATGCGTATGGTGGACCTGTGTGTGAAAGACAACTTATATGAAGAGTTGGATAAGAAAGGATGTAAAACTTACAGACATCTACTAGTTTTTAAGAGTACAGAGGACGGAGGATGCCTCGGAAGTCTATAGAAATGTAGAACTTGATAGTTAAAGTATCTTGTCAAAAGTTCTGAGTGACCTGTTAAAACTAAATCAATATAGTTCAGTTGCACTGACTGAATTGGAAGGTTTGTTGTTAGACCTTAAAATCAAGCCAGTCTATTTGCTTTGGAATTTATTTTTATGGGATTTTCAAGAACGGCATTCTTCTGGCTTGGTAGTAACATTACACTTAAGAGTATGTTGAAGAATACTGAAAAATAAATATGCAACCGTAGTTTTGAAAATTTCAGCTTAGTATCTCATCAGAGTTCTACGTTAAAAGAAGGATAACTAGAGTATTGGACTTTCTTTAACCCAAGAAAGTTTTGTGGGGAAATCTGACAAAATAGAAAGGTAATAACATTCTGGGAACTCAACTTTATTTTTATCACCAAAATGCTGTTTGTAATGAGCATTTTTTCAAAGTAAACTTGCCTCATGACCCGCCTTATACTTTCAGCTCTACAGAACTTTGAAATCTCATGGGTACATTCAAATGCAACTACATGTAGGTGAATGTGTAACATTAGTTGGTTTATTACATGGTCAAGCTTGGACGATAAAGAAATAGCTGAGTTGCACACCTGATCTTACCTATAACTAAATTATCATTGAGAGAACTTAAGACTGATGCAACAAACACAATTAGCTTATTAATCAACTCACATGCATCTAGTCAGAGATGTTATGTAAACTAGTGCTTTTCGTTTAGATGTCACCAAAATGACTAAAACGGCATATTTAACTTCATCGTGCACAAGACTGAAACGGATAGATTAAAAATAGTATATCTTACACAAAATTACAGTCCAGTTCAGGTTTCAACTAAATACTGAAAAGTTCTTTAGAGTGAATTGAGCCTACAAGGTACATAAAATAAGTTTAGAGTTAGAGAATTGAGTTCATTGGGTTTTATACCATACAACCTGCTTGTTCAGATACCTCGAATGTGACGTTGATTACTCTTTCGTAGTTATCAATAATAATCACTATAATCCGGAAGGCACGTTCTATGTCATCTGAAACTGATCAGATAGATACATTGTTGTCCAAATTCAGACGGCTATTAATTGATTTCAGTCATTAGTTATCAGGAGAATTAAGTTAGCTAGAAAATAAGAAATAAAAGTGAGAAGTATTAGGTTCCAAAAACTCTAAACAAATTACAGAAGTAGCCTCTGATTTCTGAAAGTGTGTGTGTCATTATCATGATATTTTTGTTAATGTATGATAGATGCCAGGCTCAACTGAAATACATAAGTGAAGGCAAAAGTATATCAAACTAGTAGGTTGACAGCGAAACGAGCAGAATTTACCCGTATATTTTGTCCTGTATCACTAATATCATCAACTTTTAATTATTTTCAAGAAATTCTTTCTTCTATACTATTGCAGTAATTAGACTAAGTTTTTTTTGGGTGTTTTATCATCTACCTATTAAACAGATATCATCTCTTTAAGACTGTTCAGTTTTTAAAAACCTTATTACATAGGTACATGAAATGTTGCTTTCTTGTTGCTTTACATGAATATTTCGGTGAAACCGAAGATTAGTAAGCCTGCTACAAGACTGAGCAGAAACAATATTACCAGCTTAGATAACTGACCAGTGAATAGTCCTGTAATAAGTGATAATTATGGTGATCATCTCAGTCTATAAGGAAATTCGTAGCTTGATTACAGAAACTAAAACTGAAACTATAGATAGAAAGTCTGTATGTAAGTAGTATAATTTAGGTTTCTTCAAGAAAGCACCACCTGTTGATAACAAGGTGCGCATACAGTGCATTAGATTGAGGTAGCAGAAACCTTCAGAACCATGAACATGAACAGAAGGCAAATATAATAATTTGGTATGCAGAAGCTGATGTAACTAAACGGGTTGATTATATTTTCATATCTTACAAAGGAGACGATAGTAAATAATCTTTCAAGAAACGCGTTTTCATGCACTCTCAGTCATATTAAGTTTACAATCCTTCAAATATTTCATTTTCTTTTTGGAAACAGCATTAATTTAACCTGGATATTGTCACGAAGACTGTTACTAACTCATTTGCTGTAACTGAAGGAAATCTTTTAAACCTAAGTAGTGTCATTTCTTTGATGGTAGTTGAGAGAGACTGCGGTAGAAGTTGATTACCATTCTCATTGAAACCTACTTTCGTGCGGAAAATCTAGACTAATTTTTTAACAATGGTTATGTCAACTAAATTCTCATTCTCCTCACTTATTATCTTGTACAGATTCTAAAACATCCTTCAACCTGAGTTTTAAGAACAGGACTGTGGCAATTCGGTTTTCTTGTCAAATACTTTACATCTTCCGCTGTATTGTTCAAGCTCATGATGGCTATAAAAGGGTGGACTTAAATTTCAGCTGCAGTGAATATTCGTTTTGTGTAAGGTGCTTACATTCTTGAAGGTTGCATACAAATAGGGAGTACCTCAAAAATAATATCAAATCATCATCTTGCATTACTGGGAACTTGGATACGACGTAACAGATTATTATTATTATTATTATTAGTCCCTTGGGTTCCTAGTGGAACATAGGGCTTCAGTAGCACGCCTCCAGTGACCTCTGTTCTCTGAGATCTTTTGGACCTGGTCCCACGACAGCGCAGAAGCTCTCATTTCCTCCTCGCACGACCTCCTCCATGTCACCCTTGGATGTCCAACTCGTCGCTTCCCATCGGGGTTCCACTCGAGGGCCTGGCGCGTGATGCCCTCAGTCGGCCTTCTCAGTGCATGGCCAATCCATCTCCACTTCTTCCTGCATATTTGTTGCGTGATAGGTTCTTGGTTGGTTCGTTCACAGAGTTCCTTGTTGCTTATTCTTTCTGGCCATCTGATCTTCAGCAGCGAGCGTAAGCAGTTGTTGATGAATGTCTGTAGTTTATTGGAAATCCCTTTCGTGACGCGCCAAGTCTCTGAGCCATACAAGAGCACTGACTTGACGTTGGTGTTGAAAATCCGTATCTTGTTCCAGATGCTGAGTGCAGAAGATCTCCACACTGGTTTCAGGCTAATGAACGCCTGTCTTGCTTTTCCGATTCTGATTTGGAAGGTTCCTTGCACTAGATAGTGGTGTGAACCTACATCTGCTCCTCTTCTTGACCTTGTGTTAAGTAGACTGCGTCTCCATTTTCTTGAGATTGAGATAAAGTCGATTTGATTTTTAGTGTGTCCATCTGATGAAATCCATGTCGCTTTGTGGATATCTTTGTGCCTGAACACACTGCCTCCAATCACCAAATCGTTGAATGCACAGAATTCTGCAAACAATTCTCCATTCTCATTCATTTCACCTAGCGCCTCTCGACCATGGTTAGTTCTCTTCCCGTGTTCTCCCCTCCCAGTTTGGCATTCATGTCGCCCATTAGAATTTTGATATCGCCAACTGAGGTGGTGTCTTGTCCAGTGTTGATTGAAGTTGTCTGTAGAAATCCTCCTTTTTCTCTTGCTCTGCATTATTTGTAGGTGCATAACATTGTATGATTGTGACCTTTCTTCCTTTTGAGTTGAATCTTGCTGTCATGATCCAGCTGGAGGAGATTGGTTCCCACTGC